CCCTCCCGCGCTAGCCTAAGGGCCACCTTAGCAAAGCGCATCCCAGGCTGCATAGCCGCACTACCCTACCCAACCATACCACACATAAACATGACACTACCCCCGGGGTTTACACAGACGAGCCGGCGAAGCAAGAAGAGCGCCAGAAGAAAGGGCCCTAGCCGGCGGGGCCCAGCCAGGACAAAAGGAGGTCCCACAAAGCGCCTACACCGGCCGCATTTGCGGTCGGGGTAGACGACGGATGGGGCCCACCTACGAAGGCTGTCCAGGCCTACACGAGATGAGGCAGGATAAAGAGGGATAATCCCCCTCGATCCCAAATCATTGAGGCCAATTTCTAGCCATAGAATAATGGCGCGATAGTTTTATTCGATAGTTTCCCACCACTACTTCAGCGCAATAACGTAACGCAGTACTGAGTTACCCATCTCTATCAAGTACTTATATGAATTCCGTTTCTGTTAATTTATGAAATTTAAAATTTATATGTAATAAACTACATGATTAAATGCAGATATATTTATATATTGTAGTGTTTTAAACATATGCAGACTGTAGTAAGTTAATAATGAGTGCAAGTACGAAAAGAACAATATATGTTGGAGGATTAGCTGAAGAAGTTGATGAAAAAGTATTAAACGCAGCTTTTATTCCTTTTGGAGATATAGTTGATGTTCAGATACCTTTGGATTATGAATCGGAGAAACATAGGGGTTTTGCCTTCATTGAATTTGAAAGTGCCGAAGATGCTGCTGCTGCTATAGATAATATGAACGATTCTGAACTTTTTGGTCGAACAATAAGAGTAAATTTGGCCAAACCACAAAGAATTAAAGAAGGTTCAACAAGACCTGTCTGGTCAGAAGATTCTTGGCTACAACAACATGCTGGTGAAACAATAAACAAAAAAATTGATGAAACAACTGAAACCAATGAAGAAATTGAAAGCGAACCTAAGGCAAAAAAAGTTATAAATCCCCAAGTTTACTTTGATATTAAAATAGGAAAAACAGAAGTTGGTAGGATAACAATGATGCTTCGAGCTGATGTTGTTCCACGTACAGCAGAAAATTTTCGATGTTTGTGTACACATGAAAAAGGTTATGGATTTCAAGGAAGTATTTTTCATAGAATTATTCCTGATTTTATGTGTCAAGGTGGAGATTTTACTAATCATAATGGCACGGGTGGTAAATCAATTTATGGAAGAAAATTTGCGGATGAAAATTTTGAATTAAAACATGTTGGACCGGGTACATTATCTATGGCCAATTCAGGATTAAACACAAATGGATCGCAATTTTTTATATGTACTGCAAAAACTGATTGGTTGGATGGAAAACATGTAGTTTTCGGACACGTAATTAGTGGTATGGATGTTGTTAAGAGAATGGAAAAGTGCGGTACAAAAAGTGGAAAACCAACAGAGAGAGTTATTATATCTGCCTGTGGTGAAATACAGTGAACTTTAAATATTTTTGTTTTTTTTTTTGTATCTTAATATTAATTTTTAAAGTTTAAGCTGTATTTTAAATGTCAGCAATATATTATTAATCCCTTTTTAATATGAAAATATTTCAGGCTGTTAGTAGTTTTGATTCATATTCAAGGTAGTCGTAGAAAACATATTTTAACACTACCACTCATAAATATCCATTTCTATCATGAAAGAATCGTAATGTGAAAATATTAAATTTTGCTACGTTGCTGCCCACAAATTATTTGATGTGAAAAGCTCACCGGCTTCCAAAGTTCGCACTTTAGTAATGAAATTAAATAACAAATCAGTTGCTCCCACTGTAACACCGTATTTTAATGACAAATTTGTTTTTTTCAAGAAAAAAGTAAATAGAAAATGAAGTAAATTTAAAATATTATAACAATATTTAATGCAGTTATAGTGATTATACTTTTCTCTATATTAACAATGCTTGTTTGGATTGCGTCTAATATAGATATTAATAATTGACCAAATCTGTACAGAAACTGTCTTTTATTACGAACTATTGGAAAATGACTCGACATGATTAATTATTGCCTTTACGTAAGGTCCATATTGTTTTTTAATTATTCTTATTAAAGCAAAGATTGTGTAGGATCTATTAAAATTAAACTATATTAGAAAAGATTAAAAATAATTCCAATAAGCTAACTGTTCCTTTATTGACAAGAGTAATAACATTTCCAATTTTTTGTAGGTACACAAAGAGACAGACAGGGTAGAAACAAAAATTACATACAGGTATCATCATTACTCAAGCTGACAATTAAAAAAAATAACCATTCTAAAATGCAAGGGTGATGCTGCTCAAAGTGAACCTCATTATTTTTACGTATGATCTATATTTACTTTCTATTATTTGAATGTAGTCCCATCATTTGTACTTCAGATATTTAAACAAAAAAAAAGCTTCAGAAATTACTTTAACTGAAGAATAATTATAAAATGGTAAATTAAGGTAATTTGTTTATTATTAATGAAAAATACTTATGGGATAAAAAGAATTCTAAACTATTTCCAATATAAAAGATTTATTAAACAATTTAGAGCTTGAAATAAAAACATCCTAAAAAGTACGAAACAAACAGTGACTAACTTAAATATAAATGTTTGTAATCATAAAAAAACTTAACACTAAATATTCATAAATAATGTAATAGGGCAATGGTCAGATCCCATAACTTCAGATCTCATAACAATGTCGCATACTTTGTCCATTATTCTTTCCGATACAATAAAGTAATCTAAGCGCCTAAAAAACAGATAAAAAACATAGCATTTATATAAGATATATACCAAGAAAAGTTACCATCCAACATTTTTAGCTCTTGCATTAGCCATATAAGTCCAAAAGGTATACACATCTGTTTTATCTGGATATAATTTTCTAAAAGTATCAACATATCCGTCTTGAAGAAAGTCTGTCATCCCTTCTCTTTCTTCCTTGGTGAAACCTGCATTTTTAGTATTACTTGCTGGTCTTGCTATATCAATTTCATTGTGAGCCACATTCATATCTCCACATATGACAACAGGTTTTTTATCATCAAGAGATTTTACATAATCTTTAAAAGCTGTATTCCATTGTAATCGTTTTGGAAGAGTTATTAATTTGCGGCCTAGAATAACATTTATTTATATTTATGTGTAACACTACACCATTAAAACCTACCTGCATTAGGTACATAAACACTTATAATATAAAATTCATCATATTCAGCTGTAATACATCTCCCATCTTCATCTAATTCGGGAACATTAATACCATAAAATACTTGTATTGGTTCTGTTTTAGTAAGTAAACCCACTCCAGCATAACCTTCTTTGTTACTGGCACACCAATATTGCTTATAATCCTCAAACTTTTTTATTTCTTCTGGTAACTTCATTTCGCTACATTTGGTTTCTTGAACACATAATATATCTGGATCTTCGTATTCTAAATATTTTAAACAATCCTTTTTTACCCAACTTTTCAAACCACCGATATTCCAACAACTTATCTTTAAATTGGGCTTTTGGCCTTCTCCATTTTTCTTTGTACATGCAAAATCTATTTGATTCCATTTAGTAACAGTGCTATTACTTGAGGCAGATTTCTCAACTTTATCTTCACTATCTTTTTTTGTTCTCTTATTTTTTGCCCCTTCAGTTGGTGGGTCTATAACAAAAAATGTTATATTGTGCCAAATTGAAGCAAAATAAAAAGTTTCACTTTCAAATATTGCACAAATACTTTTTTTTATAAGATTTCTGAAATCGAACTAGGTAATGGTGCATTGATTTAGTAGGATTATACCCAAATCAGGATTGTATCGATATTCTAATAAAATAATTAATTTCACAAATACCTTTACATGAAAAAAATATATAAATTAAAAAAGTAAAATAAATGGGGGCCTATTTAAGGGTAAAGAATTAGAATGTCAAAAAATGAGTTCACTCTCCTTCGATTAATGAACGTCACAAAATTTAAAAGCTGCGAGAGCCAGCGAATACTTCATAAGTGTCACTTTTGGGGAAATTATTGCAATAAGGGAACCATGTAAGTTGCTAACTATATTGATTTGATATTTTATTTTACGTTTCTCAAAACGGCATATTATATGATTCTTTTTTAATTTATTTCAATTTGTTGAATTACTAATAATACCTTAAAAATAAAGTTTTAAAATCTTTCATTTCTAGGAAGCTAATTAAAATGAACTGTAATTCTTTTCATTTTTAATGATGGCATCGGTCTCATTTAATATGTAATTCTTTAGAATTATTTTTTAAATTGAAGGGAAACTACTGATTTAAATTAATTAATACAATACATTATTTATTTCGGAACACATGCATCAGCTTTGTTAAATTTCTAATTTTATTTAAAAATATCAGGAGGTGAATGGAAAGAATGTATCCCTTTTATGATTTAAAACTCCAATTTTTAATTATTGGTATATCTTTTTTTTTACACTCATTATTAATATTAATGCTGGTACTTTTTAGTTTTACTTTTACATTCAATGAAATTAATTCAAAGTAAGGGCACACCCAGATGGGTGGGGTGTAGATACAGCAAGGGTTAGGGATACTGCAGATATTTAGTCAAATCTTTCCACATGCATACTAACTAAGCGAAGGGAAAGTACTTCCCTTCCCAAAAAATTATTTAAACAAATTCCTATTCCCATATAAAAAAATAGGTATTTGAAAAGTTAACCAAAACGTAAATAGTTTTGATCTACACCAAAAATAAGGCAAAAAGGTCTGTAACATTTATCTCCAACTTTTTGTATAATGCAGCTGTGAGAGATAATAGAGGTTTCTTTTCTATTGATTTTCAGCTATGTTTTTATACCTATTTGTTTCACAATAGGTAGTTTAAGTCTTGAACGATTCATATAGGTAGTAAAACAAATATATGTATAAATTAGAAGTAGCAAAGAAATTATACAGGGTGTTTCTAAAATAGGGTTAGAAACTTCTGCTGCGTTTATAACTCATTAAAATATGCCAAAAAGTTCCTATTAACATGTGCCCTAAAACGCACCATTAGGAATTTATATTCCCTTAAAAGGGCTCAAACAAAACTGTTTTTTTTTTTCAAATAAATTGCAGTTATGAAGGATCCGATCATTTAATAAATAATTTCGGACATAAACTAAGACTATTTAAATTTAGAGTTACACTTACTAATTAAAGAACTAATTACTACTGCAGACAATATCTAAATGTGAAATAGAAAATAATGCAATTAAAATTAGTAATAATAAGTTAAATTACAAGAATTGCTCGAAGTGACCACCTTGCATTTCGATGCATAATCTAGCTCGACGCTTCAATGATTTGCGAACTCTTTGGAAAATTCTAGATGTTTGCCTTATTTCCATGCACGCCATTTCAATTTCCTCCCGTAGTTGCTGAATGGTCTCAATTGGAATTTTATAAACCTTTGCCTAAAGTTGAAACCACATAAAATAATCCAGGGGGTTAAGATCAGGGGAACGTGGAGGCCAGGGAACAGGACCTCCTTGGCCTATCCATTTTTCTCCATACAACTCATTTAAGTGTTGTCTTACATTATGTAGGTAACGAGGTGGCGCCCTATCCTGCATAAACCATATGCTTTGGCGTTCAATTAAAGGGACATCTTCCAAAAGCCCTGGCAAGCCGTTAACTACAAAATTGTAATAATCCTCACCATTCAATCGATTAGGCAACACAAACGGTCCGATTAGCCGATCGCCTAAAATGCCTGCCCAAACGTTGACGGAAAACCGAATCTGATGTCTGGACTGAAATATGCTGTGTGGGTTTTCATCAGCCCATTCATGAGCATTATGAAAATTGACATAACCATCTTTACTGAAGCTTGCCTCATCCGTAAACAAAATAAGAGATGCAAAATTCAGAATCCGCCTCGATTTTCGCAAAAACCATTGGCAGAACTGCCGACGTGGTTCGTAGTCATTCGGATTTAAAGCTTGAACACTCTGGATATGAAAAGGATGAAGTAGTTGTTTGCAAAGAATTCACCAAACCACGTAAAAACTTATGTTATGCATATGTGCGACACTTCTTACACTAACCCTTGGATTGTCCTGCACAGCTCTCAATACATTTTCTTCCATCACCGGTGTTCTTACAAATCTGTCTCTGCCACGATCATTTACTCTTGGTTGGAACGAACCATTTTCTCTTAAACGTTGATGGATCCTCTGAAATACCTGTCGAGAAGGAAGTCTTTTATTCGGGTATGCTGCCGCATACAGACGCCTCGCTTCTGATGCATTTCCAGCCGCACGGCCGTACATAAAGTGCATATCTGCCATTTCCGTGTTTGAATATGACTCCATTTTATGAGTTGCAATAATGTTGTATACTTACATTTTCCACTCACCACTTTTACTAATTAAACACTGCAAAGCTCAATTGTCAGTTTATCAATAACTTAAATTGTTAAGCATTGTGGCAACGTCAGTCTTTTATTTGCCATGGTAAACAGATTTTTGTAATTTTTGGCCTAATAACTTAAAGAGCAGAGTAATTTTCAAACTCAATTTACTCGAAAACCATTGGAAATATCGATTTGGACAAAGATAATATTTTTTACGTAAAATTGTTAAGATTTTATAAATCTGTAGAGAAAATTGTAAAAAAAATGAAATAAAAAAAATTACGGGCCGAAAACCCCCTTCACCAACCTAAATCACACACAGTCATAGCTCTTTACGATGCTATGACTGTGGTGGACTGGTCATTTTTGCAAGCTTTTGAGGATGTCGACTTGGCTTGCGACGCCTTTTATATTAAGTTATATTCTCTTCTCGACACCCATGTGCCACAGTGGTATAGCCATGAGTTGAAACGATCTATTCAGCAAAAAGAGTATTTCTTTAGGTAGTATAAGAAACACGGTATTTTATTTTATCTTACAGTTTTTTAGTACTCTAGTTAAAACACTCGCCAGTCGTGACTATAAATCTTATCTGTCACACATAGAGACTAACATTAGAACAGAACCTAGACAGTTTTTGGAGTTTTGTAAACGGCAAAGTGGGCTCTAGTAGAATTCCTAACACGATGCACAGTACCGACAACGTTCTTTTAAATGACCCTGGCGCTATTGTGGAATCCTTTAGATATTATTTTAGGAACGTTCTCAGTAAGCCCCTCTCAGGTGAAGATCGAAATCTTGGCACGTTTAATTGTACTAACTTTCCTTCAATAACTGTTAATTTTCTGACTGATGAGGAAATTATAAACTCAGCTAGGAAACTTAAAAATAAATTAACGTCAGGTCCGGACTTAATTCCCAGTTTCTTTGCTCGTGATTGTCGTTTCATTTTGGCTAACCCGCTGGGATATATATATTTAATCTCGCTCTTAAAACCGGAACTTTTCCTAGTGTGTAGAAGGTGGCAAGTGTTAATCCAATCCTCAAAGGCGGCGACCCTTCTTACATTAATAACTATAGGCCCATTACTTTGTTATGCAATTTTGCGAAGGTCTTCGAGATGTTGTTGTATAATCGTTTGTTTCCACTTTTCAGGGGTATCATATCTCTTGAACAACATGGTTTTATAGAAAAAAGATCAACTACCACAAATCTGATGTGTTTCACACAGTTCATATGTAATGTTATTGATCAGCGTGGGCAGGTAGACGTCATATACACCGATTTCTCGAAGGCCTTCGATCGCATTGATCACGGCATACTCCTCCATAAACTCGAAGTATACGGGCTTTGTGGCAACTTTTTACAACTGTTTAGCTCATATTTGTCAAATCGTCTTCAGTATGTCACTTACAACGGTTTTAAGTCTAGCCAGTATTCTATTACTTCTGGAGTACCTCAGGGTTCCAATCTAGGTCCCCTCCTATTTTCCATCTTTGTTAATGATATTACGACTTACATTGACTGTCGCAAACTAGTTTATGCCGACGACTTAAAAATCTTCTCCTCTATCTTAACTGATGATGACTGTCTTCACCTTCAGAGTCAATTGGACAAAATAGTCCTTTGGTGCGATTCAAATAATTTGCATTTAAATATCTCTAAGTGTAAAGTTGTTTCTTTTTCACGTAAACTTAAGCCCATTATAGTCAATTACAAAATTAACTCGGACGTCTTAGAGCGTACAGATACCATAAAAGATTTGGGAATTTATTTCGATAGTAACTTTACCTTTTCAAATCATATTCAATATCTGGTGTCCTCAACACTTAGTACGCTGGGCTTTGTGATTAGACAAGGTCGTGAATTCAGTGATAATGTTGTGTTGTTTTCATTATTTTACGCGTTTATCCGTCCCAAACTGGAATACTGTTCTCAGGCTTGGATTGTTTTTTATATTAACCAAGCCAGTTTAATTGATTCGGTGCAAAAAAAGTTTTTGAAATACCTCGCATTTCGCTCCGATGGCGTATATCCTGCTCGTGGATGCGATTATAAAATACTACTAACACGTTTCAAACTCGACTCGTTACAATACAGAAAGCACTTCCATAGTTTGAAATTTTTACATGCACTAGTAAACAATAAAGTAGACTGTCCCGAGATTCTAAGTCAATTGAATTTCTTAACAGTTAGGTCGGCTTGCCGCTCTCCACTTACTTTTTATACTTCTGCTTATAATACCAATGTGGGATTGAAGTCTCCTGTTTCTTTTATGT